TAATTAATTTACTAGACTTAAGACTAAGTTATTGAGATTGTGATGGTTGTTTTTTAAAAAACAAACTTGTCATATAAGTCATGTACTCCACTGAGTTCAATAACATTTTTTAAATTTAATTTTATGATAAAAAAAACTTCGAGAACCAAAATACTTAAAAACATTCCTCTTGTGTGGTGAAAAAAAAAGGTTGAATTTTTTATTTCAGTTTAAAATTTGATTGTCAAAGTTTTAATTTTATAGATCAATAAAATAAAATTTTATTTTACTAAATCGACCATCAATTTAATGTTGAAAAGATCTTTTGACATGGAAAAAACCTTGTACTAACTTAATTTTATTTATAATTATAATTATATATGCAAACCCTGAACTAAAATTTTATGAATTTGTTGAAAACATTGCAATGAATTTAAATAAGTATTAATATGACAAAATGATTGTAGACATTAAAATATATATGAATTTTATCAAATAGTGGTAAATCTTGATGGAAAAAATAATAAAATAAAACAAATATATAAAAGATTATAGGAGAAATTTTATCGAAAGACAATTATGAAATATAAAATTTTTTAGTAAATTTACGATGCAATTGGTACTAATAGCTGGGAAATTATTCAAAATACTTAGAAAAACTTTGTCCAATGAAAAAAACTATAAATAAACATAAAACATTTTAGCACTCTTGTAAATCGATGTCAATGGCCATTGAAGGCCATTAAAGAAGAAATTAAGCTCCTTTCCTCTTATTTTCTTATAATTCCACATAAATCTTCTCTAAAGTCAGGGTATTGTAAGGATGATAGGTGGGCAAACACTTTAATATAAGATTTGGAAAGGTTCAAGAGAGAGAAAATTATGATTTAATAAGAAAAATAATACAATTTTGGTAAGAGAAGAAGCTCAAAATGAGAGCTTTGCGAGGGAAGTGATGAAATTGATTTCAAATTTATTTGGTAAAGTATCTTACACCAGTTAATTAATGTTAATTGAGTTTTGGTGTGTGGGAGGGGGGGGAGAGTCCTTAAATTTATCACTTGAATGCTAAGAAAAATATGCAATTAGTTGTAAATTAATAAAAATAGGTGTGGAATAATTGTTGTTTGGTGTGACTCTTTAGGGCTAGCCATACAGAGATTTTTGAGAAAATAATATAATTGATTTAATAATTGCGGGATTTTATGTTACTAAATATATTGGCATGAATAATTATATTTTTTTAACAAGATTTTTATGGGGATATACATGTGTTGTATATATGAATACGGGCTTGGCAATGATATATATCTTAATTTAAATACTTTTATGAAGTTATATGTAGCTAGATGAAATGAAAAGTTTAAAAATTAATAAATTATGTAATCTTATCGTTGAATACATACTAGTATGATGCAATATATATTGGAAGGGATATATGTGAATGTTATGGAATTAGACGTGGACATGTATTGTTATTTTGTTATGATATCATGTTTAGCATGTATTGAGAAAACTTGAAAATTTGTTAGTATCATTTCATATTTATTTAAATAATTGATATATAAGTTAATGAAATTTGAAAACAAATCAAAATGCTAGATGATGTAAATGGTTTAAATATTTTACATGAGAATAAAATTTGATAAATAAAATACAATTTAAAATTTGAAATAATAGAAAATTATGTATTCAAATTGGAAAGATATTGACTTGAATGTTGAATTACTTGATATGACCAAACTATAAATCATTAAAGGTTCAAGTGAGATTATATAAATTATATGATCTATCATGGTATGATTTAATTAAAATTCTAGTGATTCGTTATTAGCGTGGAAAAAACTTGGGAATCAAAACAATGAAAATGTATTATATGAATATAAATGCATATATAACATAATGGAGGACTAAGAAATAAAAAATTAAATATAATAGTATGAAACAAATAGTTAAAGGATAATTATTGAGGTTTCAACCTGTAAAGGTGAAGGATGATAATTATAATGATGTAATAGCAAGGATGAAATTGTGATAGCATGAATTAGGGGTGAGCAAAAAAACTAAAAAACCGATTAAACTGAGAAAACCGAAAAAAAAATAATCGAAAAAACCGAACTGAAAAAAAAAACCGATTAAAATTTTGAAAAAACCAGCCGGTTCGGTTCGGTTTCGGTTTTATAACCAAAAAACCGAACCGAACTGAAACCGATCGGTTTGACCCGGTTTCAGTTCGGTTTCGGGTTTTTTTTCAAATTTTTTTTTTCGGTTTGGTTATTTTTTTTTGATAAAAACCGAACCAAACCGAAAATGATCACCCCTAGCATGAATATTAATTTATGTGATGGGAATTAACGATGTACTAATATTGATACTAGTATATCATTAGTTAATATTTTTATGTTATTGTATCATGTTGATAAATGTGGTTGGAATGAGAAAAATAAAGTTATACATGTGAAATGGAAAGATGTATGGTATGGTTGGAATTGAAATATATAAAGTTAAATTTTGAAAGTATTATATAAATTAAGCATGAAAAACATATATATATGGACAGGGTTAGTTGAAGATGACAACTAAAAGAGTGTAGATTGTAAAGTCGATATTGATGATAGGGACCATAGATTTAGTTAAATAGGAATGACAACTTCAGCATTGTTGATTACATAATCAACTCTTGTAATGAGAACGATGAATTTATTTAGTTGAAAATGACAACTCAAGGATTGTTGATTGCGTGTTTGGAAGTGTGGTTATGGTTGTTTTTCGAAGTGTTTTTTACTTGGAAATGTATTAAAATATATTTTTTTATTTTTTTAAAATTATTTTTGATATTAATATATCAAAATAATCTGAAAATACAAAAAAAATTAAAAAAATTTAAATTCTTTTAGAAAACATTTTTAAAATATAAAAATAACTAAGATTACCCTTGTAACGAGGACTGTAAACTTAGTTAGCTGAAGATAATAATAAAAGATTATTATTATTGATTAGATATTTGACTTTTAAGTTTAGGACCCTGGATTTAATCGGCTGGGAGTAGCAACTAAAGAATTGTTAATTTTTTTTTAGTATTAATATATTAAAATAATTATTAAAACATTATTTTAAAATAAAAAAATATTTTTTTTTAAAAAAGAATTCAACCTTAAAACCAAACACCACCCCCGTGCATCTCGTTGGAGCAACGTGGTTTTGGTTTATTCCCACTTTAAGAATTCACAGTCATTGCCTAATTTGCCGATGCCACATGCAGTCCCTTCATGTTCAATGGATGATGAGCTCAGCAGTTAATCTGTCACCATTATAGGACATCTGCAAATTTCAATGCTTTTTTTATTTTAATTCAACTGTCATGGTTATCTAGTTTATATATAAAAATAAGTTTTTTTTTTAATTTCAAAAAAATCTAAAAATATATATTTTACATCGTATATTAAAATTTGAGTTTTAAAAATCAAAGATGGAAAGAAATACCATTTGACAAATGAAGTAGCTGGGAATTTTAATGATATGGTACGTCAATATCTTGTCTTGAAGACATGACAGAGTATTAATGATTTGACCCACGCTAGATGTAACTATGGATCATTAGAGGTTATTACCGAAGAAGAAGCTCATCACTTTGATGTTGATGTTGTTGCTGTGGGACCCTTACGAGCATTGTTGACCGCTGTGCTCAAATCGACATGACCTGAGACTCGCTCTCCTCCACTTGTTGCAACCATGGAGGTGTCTAGTGAATGAGTTTGCTTCTTCAAGTTCAAGACCGATAGCAAGTTGCCTCAAAGAAAAATCTCACCGGTGCTCCGAGAAACACGACTTGGATTATTTTTTTTTAATATAAAAAATATTTAAATTGTAGAATTTTTTTTAGAATGTTTTTAAATTTAACTTATTATATCAATTTTAAAATTTTTTCTCTCAATATATAACTTAAATTTTAAATTAAATTATATAAAAATTATATTATAGAAACTTATTATCTTAATATATCTAAAAATAATTGAGACGACAAGTAAATAAGATGATTTAACTTTAAAACAACAAGATAATATTATTTTTTAAAAAGATATTAAAATGACGATATATTAGATCTACTTAAGTTTTATGGTTTAATCTGTTTTACCTAGTTATGGATTTGCAACCCTATTGTAAATTTTATTGGGTAATATATTAGATTTATTTAAGTTTTATGGCTTAATTTGCTTTACTTGAGTTATGAATTTGCAACCCTATTGTAAATTTTATTGGGTTCAATAATTTTTTAAAATATTTTTATTTAATTATATAATAACAATAATAAATATTTATAAAATTAAATATAAAATTAATATCAAAATATTTTTTTAAAGCATGATAACTCCATAAAAAGTAGCATGAAATAAATATTAAATCAAAACTCTTAATTAATTCAAGTTAATCTACTAAATTTACAACATATATTACGGATTTTTAATAAAAATTAAATTAAATTAAATAATAAAATACGAACTTTTAATAAAAATTAAATTGAAATAAATAATAAAATTTAATTACTAATTAAATCAAATTAATTTGTTAAATTTTTTATCCAGGTAAACTTATATATTTTCTGAATTTTTTATATAACTAAAAAACAAATGTGTACAAAATAAAATATTAATTAAATACTATTTTTTTTCCCGATAGGTTTTAAAAACAGGAATGATTTGAGTCTTGAACCATCAACACTCTATGGGCTAGACAGTGATCAAAAGCGAAAAGCTAGCCACGGTCCATTAACGGCGTCCTAGTAAAAATACAACGATGTATGATGCTAATTTCAAAGAGCTAGAATTATTAATTTAATAATTCCCTGAAGAAAAATAACTGGCCACCCTTCCTCCAGACCATTTGAACCTTCCTTTCATAGATCTACATGCAGAAAAAATAAAATAAATAAAAACATACTTAAAACATAATTATTAAATTGACATCTAATAAAACACACCCAAAAAATATCATAAAGAAATAAAAAAAAAAATATAGTCTTAATTTTTATAAATTGGTACAATATATCCAAAATTTGAAGCTGCAAAATTAGAGGCAGAGAGAGATATCTCATCTCCATTACAGGCAGAGCAAGAGTCTCTTCTATTACTCCTATCACTAATTACGTCCTTCTAGGGTTTTTTTCAAGGTCTAAAAATTCCCAGGTTTGCCCTTTAAGTTTATTACCTGAAAGAATGTCAGTTCCCTATTCCAATAAGTTTTTTTTTTTAATGCATTTGGTTATCCTTTTCATTTTAGTATCTGCTTGGTTGCTAAGAAAATCAAGAGATATCAAAGATAACAGTTTGTTGTGGGTTTTTTTTTTCGTGTAGTGGAGAAGCAGTTATTTGGTTAAATTTGTTCGTTTATTGCTTTCTCTGATTCTTAGTTTCCGAACAAGTTTTTCTTGGATTTTCATTTTGTTAAAGTAGAGAACTTTTAACATTTTGTTATGGGTTTTTTTTTTGTGTTGTGGAGAAGCAGTTATTGGTTAAATTTGTTCGTTTGTTGCTTTCTCTGATTATTAGTTTCCAAGCAAGTTTTGCTAGGATTTTCATTTTGTTAAAGTGGAGAACTTTAAGGATTCTGGGTTGTGTTAGAATTTGGAAATTTTGATTATTTGAAAAAAGTTTTTTGATTTGTCAGTTTTGGTGACGAAGTGAAGTTTATAGCTAAGTTTTGTGGAGAAGGGATTGTTTGGTTAAGTTTGTCCCATTTCTTGCATTTACTGATTCTTAGCTTTGAAATAGAGATTTGCTAGGCTTTCATTTGTTTAACTTGCGAACCTTTTGGATTCTGGATTGGTGTTAGAATTTGGTAATTATTTTAGAAATTTGTTTCAATTCTGGCACTTAGAATTTCAGCTTCCAGATAGAGAGCTTTGCTAGGCTTTCATTTTGTTGAAGTCTTCAACTTTTTGAATTATGGGTTGGTGTTGATTATTTTATGGAAGCATTTCTTGATTTTTTATTTTAGTGAGGAAGTGAAGATTATAGCTGAAGTTTTTGTGGGTTCGAAATTATTTAGTGATTTATGCTCAGAGCTGTGAAAGTAAAGTGTAGTAAATGAATGCCATTGCTTTTTATCTTGTTTTTAGCTTAAGTAAGATCAATGATAGGCATGCGGTTACTGAATGTTTGACTGAAAACAAGTCCTGTTTACATTGCTAGATGGATGCATGATAGAGTAGTCTGTTTTTGGATGATATGGATGAAGGATTGGGTGATGAAGTGGCTTCAATGGACGTGGTGGAGCAGGCCCACCTCCGAGGTAAAGAGAGTGAGCATTCCGTGAAACCACCTGAAAGCTCCAACTTGTTGGAATCTCGTGAAATGGATATAGCTGGTGTGGATGATTATCGTGAGAGCTCCTTTCATGTACTTGCTGATATGTTGGAGGGTAAGAATGAAAATAGGAGTGCAAGCCCTATGGATGCATCTGAGCAGCCATGCTCTAGCCCTCACTCTGTAGATGATGCTGGGAACATGAATGAAGACTTAATGGTGAGAAATTTTGATGGTTCAAATTTAGCCATTGTTGGTACACCGAATAATAGGGAAAGGATGCAAACTAGGCAGAATCAATGGCCGCATCTTTATCAAATTGGAGGGGGATCCATGACTGGGATTTCTCGTAGTAATACCTTGTATAAGGACAGTGGTCAAGCAATGCTAGATGTGCGGCACTCATCTTCATCCGACATTTTGGCTCAAAAAACCTCAAGCAATGAAAGAAATGAAGTCTCAGAACAATTGACACATCCTGACTTTAAAGGGTTGTCAGGCAATATGAGCTCGCTTGCTAGTATCCGGACAAAGATTCTATCGAAATCAGGATTCTCAGAATTTTTTGTCAAAAACACCTTGAAAGGTAAGGGGATTGTTTATAGAGGGCCTCCACATGATAGCTTCAAACTTCAACCAAGATACCAAAACAATGAAAGGGCTGTTGGTGGACCTTTGGCAGCTTCTGATACCCCTTTGAACTTGAGTGCTAAAACTGAAATGATGCCCCCTTTGCATGGGATTGCTGGGCCGAGGCCTGCTGGTTCTGATCATGATGGAGTGAGTTTGAGGGAATGGCTGAATGCTGGACGGCACAAAGTGAATAAAGTTGAGAGCTTGCATATATTTAGACGGATTGTTGATCTAGTGGATTATTCTCATTCGCAAGGAGTTGCATTGCCTGACTTGCGGCCATCTAGCTTTAAGTTGTTGCAGTCTAATCAGGTTAAATACCTTGGTTCAGCTGCTCAGAGAGATTTGGTTGAAAGTGCCAAGGGTCAAAATGCACCTTACTCCGACAATCATGTGGTCAGGAGAAGGCCGTTGGAACAAGGAATGTTTTCTTCTGTTGCTGCATCTGTGAAGAAGCAGAAGTCCAGTGAGAGCATGAACTATACCAGTCGCTGGCCTCAGTTATCTGCAAAATATGGCTTGAAACTTGAATCTACATGTGATTGGGACATCAATGCTACTGTTTCACAAAATTCTCTAAATGAAGCTACTGAACATAACTGTAATGCAGAATATGGAATTCAGGCCAAGTCCAGCAGCCATCAGCCATCTAAATTAGGTCAATGCCAGTTGACATCTGTTAGTGACCAGTTGGAAGAAAAATGGTATACAAGTCCCGAGGAGCTCAGTGAGGGGATCTGCAGAACTGCATCAAATATTTATGGTCTTGGTATTCTTCTATTCGAGGTGCGATGATGTTATTTCTCATCTTGTTTATTGAGCACTCTCTCTCTGCTTCTATGATATTGTTTGTGCTTAATTATTTGATAAATGCTTTTAATGAAACATCCTTTTCATTTGTCCAATGATTCTGATTGTTACTTTGGTTTACCATGGTGCATAATTTATCTCCATGTATAAATGTTTTCAAAAACATTTTATTTCTTACAAATGCATGTTTTCATGAGTCTTGAAAGCTGGCACATCCTTTTGTGTAATAAAAAATTCATTTGTTTGTTGCTCTATCCCTTTTCCCAAATGCTACCTGTCCATAACAAATATAATTACCGGGGCTTTTTTAAGCATTGGTGATTCACAATCTGAGAAGATTTTTCTGCCATATGTAGTAGAAATTACAACCATGAAATTGCTGTCATTATCCAAGTGTAGTAGCAGTAGTATTCTTTTGTTGGCTATATAAGCATATCCTATGCGTCCTGCTTATTTTTGTTTGTTATTCTCTCTATGTTTGTTTATTTTGTTTAGATTTACGGGTTTGGATAGAAATTTTCTTTTTTATATGATTAATTAGGTTGTTTCTTTCAGTTGCTTGGTCGTTTTGACTCTGACAGAGCACAAGTGACAATAATGTCAGACCTTCGTCACAGGATTCTTCCTCCTCAATTTCTATCTGAAAATCCAAGGGAAGCTGGATTCTGCCTTTGGCTACTTCATCCTGAACCTTCATCACGCCCATCAACAAGGCAATCCTAGCTTGTTTTTAAATTTGTAAAATCTTGAATTTTATTGGATATGAAGACCTTAAGAGCTTTACAATCCATTAATCAATAGTCTTGACGTTTAAACTATTAGAGGACTAAAAATAAATTGAGTTACAAGAGTTGTTAATTTGTGGCTAGATTTAAATCTGATTGTGAGACTTTAACTTGAACTCAATGTGATTCAAGCACTTTGGAAGTGTCAGTACCAAACTTCCCTTCTGTTTTGTTTCTTTTTCATTTAATTTTAATTTTAATCCATGTTCATTTCTTCATTAATAAAATATTTACATCCATGGAAAGCTAGCCTCTTAGCCCCCAAAAGAGGCTTGACACCATGTTTTGTGCTTCTCCAAGTGAGCAGAGGACTAGATCATTGAAGCTCCTATCTCACACCCTCTCACCAACATTAAATCTCCCAAAGCTTTGTCTGAACTCTCTCTCACTCTCGATCCATATTATGCATATGTGGTCTACCCTTGCATGTAGTTGGTGGTGTTAAAGCCATGAAATTTGAGTTCACATCTGACGAATTAAATGGGTTTTATGGACCTTAATGAACTGTGGAGATTTTTGTTCAACCTGGTGAATGAGAAAGAAATGAAAGGAAAGCTGGATGGTTGCGACTTGTGTCTGTCATGGTGTTACTAATGGAAGTAGATGGAACAGGCACATGGAACCATTTATAATAGGTTGATATTAAAATTGCCCCCTTTTTAAAGGCTGAGGACCTTAACAAGATTTCGGACAAAATATGGGATGAAATTGCACCTGCATCAGTTTGTGGGATACGTGGGGACATAAATGTAATAGATTTTTGCATTGGAGTGATCATCGATTTTCTCACAAGAAATGAATTTCAAGTATTTTATGCTTCTTCCTTTTCTTTTCCAAACTAGTGCATTAGTTGATTGTAAAACATTATGGCTTTGTTACCAGGATGGGTGCCTGCTAACTCATGCAATAGTTCGGGTGCAATTTGTTTAAATTCTAAACTTATGCCCTCATGTGACATTCTATTTTGGTTGTATCTGGCAGGGAAATCCTACAATCTGAATTGATTAATGGATTGCAAGAGGTGTCTGCAGAAGAATTGTCATCCTCTATTGACCAAGATGATGCCGAATCAGAACTTTTGTTGCATTTCCTTGTTTCATCGAAGGAGCAGAAGCAGAAGCATGCCTCTAAGTTAGTGGAAGATGTTAGATGCTTGGATACTGATATTGAAGAGGTTGGTAGGAGAAACTGCTCAAAGAAACACTTGCACCATTCTTGCTTAGAGAATGACTTTATAAATGAAAGGCAACCTACCTCCGAGCATAAAGAACCTTCCAGGTTGGAGGCACTTTCTCAAGTATCTCCTGATTTTCAGACAAACAATATGAGGTTGATGAGCAATATCAGCCAGCTTGAAAGTGCTTATCTCTCCATGAGATCCAAAGTCCAGCTTGCTGAGACTGATGCTGCCACTCGTCAAGATAGGGACTTACTGAGAAATCGTAAGAACTGGGATTTAGCACAAGAGGATGAAGAAACACAGAATACCACTGATTGCCTTGGATCCTTTTTTGATGGCTTGTGCAAGTATGCTCGTTATAGTAAGTTTGAAGTACGTGGGCAACTAAGAACCGGGGACTTCAATAATTCTGCAAATGTTATTTGTTCTTTGAGTTTTGACCGTGATGCAGACTATTTTGCTGCTGCTGGAGTATCAAAGAAAATAAAGATATTTGAGTTTAATTCACTCTTTAATGACTCTGTTGATATTCATTATCCAGTCATTGAAATGTCAAATGAGTCAAAGCTCAGCTGCATTTGCTGGAACAGCTACATCAAGAGCTATCTGGCTTCAACTGGCTATGATGGTGTTGTTAAGGTGTGTATATCTTGCATGCTAGATTCTTTACTGTTGAAGAAATACCTTTCTGTGAGTATCAGTGGGTTGACCTGATGCGGGACAACCTTGTCATATTTGCGGCTTGGATATGGAGTTTTCTGCATCAGCTTCTGAATTTCTTGTGGGTTATAAGGGATTCCAGTGTCATATTCTTTAGTTTTCTTACTGCAGCTTTCATCTTGTCCCCCCAGCTTACATCTTGTCCCCTGCAATCATCTTTGATCTTTCTTTTATGAAAAAAATAAGCCCTAAATATCCTCACTTCCGAGATTTTCAAATGTCAGCTTAAAAAAGAACTTCATATTGTTGCTAATCTATAAGTTTACATTTGTATTTGTTGAGGTTTCTCAACTTCTTGAATCGCATTGGTTATCCTTCTCTTACACACTGTAATTATCATCTTCATTTGTGCTCAAATTTGTCTGCTTATTTTTATTTTCCACTGTACATTTTAGATCTCGTGGTTGTATTCTTAAATTCCCCACCTTGCTCTTTACCTGATTTGGTTTGATGAATTCCAGCTATGGGATGTGAATACTGGTCAAGTGGTTTTTCAATATAATGAGCATGAAAAGAGAGCTTGGTCTGTGGACTTTTCTCAAGTATATCCAACAAAATTAGCCAGTGGAAGTGATGATTGTTCTGTGAAGCTGTGGAGCATTAATGAGGCATGTTCTCCCCATCTCTTTTTTACTTTGTAATAGTTTGGGATTCCTAAAACCAGAGTTGGAAGAATGTTCCGCTATTTAATGAAGGCCATTTGAGTTAAAATGTGATAGTGCTGCTTGGTGTTTCTTTAACTTTATATGTTCATTCTTCTTTCTTGCAGCTCTAGCTATTGCTCAAAAAATTGAAATTCTTTCTGTAATTTGCTTAATAAAAGCTTATGCAGTTCAAACCTTTTTGCAGAAAAATAGTACGAGCACAATCAGGAACATTGCAAATGTCTGCTGCGTGCAGTTCTCTTCTCACTCTTCTCATTTGCTGGCCTTTGGGTCTGCAGATTACAGAACCTATTGCTATGATCTTCGGAATGTTAGAGCCCCCTGGTGTGTACTGGCTGGCCATGACAAAGCTGTGAGCTATGTTAAATTCTTGGACTCTGAAACTCTTGTTACTGCATCAACTGACAATACATTAAAGATTTGGGATCTCAATAAAACCAGCTCCAGTGGTTTATCCCCTAGTGCTTGCAGCTTAACCCTTGGTGGACACACTAACGAGAAGGTCAGTGCTTGTGTTTAAGGAGCTAGCCAGTTTGTTCTTGTGCTGCTTTTATTTATTTTATTTTAATCATTTCCTCTTACGGGTATCTCTTGCTCCTGCAGAACTTTGTGGGCCTATCTGTTGCCAATGGTTACATAGCATGTGGATCAGAAACAAATGAGGTATGGATTCAGTTTTTTTTTGGCAGAATGATTTGCTTGATAATAAGTGAGGATGAGAATTCATCACTGAAAGGGGGTAAAAAATGAAAGAGAACAAGAGTTCCCAGCTTTCATACGCGACCTCTACTTTTTTTGCCAGAATACATCTACTCTTTAACTTACTGAAGTGATGCTGTCTCCTTTCAGGTTTATGCTTACCATAGATCTCTACCTATGCCAATCACTTCTCACAAGTTTGGTTCAATTGATCCTATTTCGGGTAAGGAAACAGATTGTGACGATGGGCAGTTTGTTTCAAGTGTCTGCTGGAGAGGGAAATCAGACATGGTTGTTGCTGCTAATTCAAGTGGGTGTATAAAAGCATTGCAAATGCTATGAAGAAAAACAGTCAATCTGAAACCACATTCGTTTGGCTTCCTTATTGCATGGGGACCCGGAGCCTTTTCTTTTTTCTGACAGCATGTTCATAAACTGAAACTGCAATTTTGCTTGGCAATATCTTCGACGAATGTCATCTGCTCAGCTTGCTCAGTGATACAAGGGTTTCAGTCGGCTGCACTACTGACTTCACTTAGGGAAGCAAATTCGGTTCCAGATCTCCAGATAAGAAAGATCAGATTCCAGATCTGAGATGTTTGCCGGTGAAAGCACCAGAATATCATATTGTTTAAGAGGGTACACTGCTTGTAAATATAAAACAAAAATGATTGAGATCAATGTGGTGTCAAGATGTGCTGGATTGAAATAAAACTCTCCAAGGAAGCTTCGGGCATCGTGATGCAACAAGTTACGTTGGTCATAATAAGGGCTTCTGACCACTTCCGGCATTTGTGAATTGGCGGGCAGCCCTTCAAAGTTTTGGCTAGGACCTGCATATATGCACACTTGAGTTTTCAAGTTCTATTTAATAGTAGGGCCTATTTGATGCCAAGTGGACATCTACACCAATTCCATCTAATTCCTTGCTGAGTTGTATCTACGGATTGAATCTTGCAAATATAAAAGCTAGCTCATGTAAATTTTATAGAAAAAGGAACGGTGTATATGATAATATCGTTTTGAAAAGATTATTTTAGTTGCCACAGTCTGCTTTTCTAGCCTTGCTGATAGCTTAATCAAGTAGTTCAATGGCACTGTTGACAATTTTCATAAAGTCTTGTAACAAGGAGATAAGAAAAACAGCTGATTTTCCTAGCAGGAAACAGACTGGTATCATACTGCTTTTCAGAGTTTGACACGAGACATACAAGTAAATATGGCTTAAACCTAACAACTTCTGAAAGCGTCAGCCAGGCTACAAGATGGTCAAAATTCAGCTTATGAGCAGAAATACAGAGCAGGATGGCCCATGAGGCCCGCCCATTTGAAAAATAACTGTTAATACTCTCCCAAACAGCCGCATAATAGTCGGCCCACTCAAGATCCTGTGCTAAGAACCACGTCTAAAGCTTAGTTTACAGGTTTCTTTAATTTGGAGACCGAATCGAACTTCTTATCCTGTGATATTTAAGGACGTAATTGTAATTATAACCTAATTTAAAGACTAAAGTCAAATAATATTATCCGAAAAGAAATAATAGTAGTAGCAGGGAAAGAAGAGAAAGCAAGGGTAGCAGAGTGCGTGGAAATCGAGGAAGACGAGGATGCAGTGGTACTTCGTCGCCTTACTTCTCACATTTCTCACTAGCTCTCAGGTCTCTCTCTCTCTCACTTCCAAATCCCTATCAAATCTGGAGATCAATCAAAGTTTTCACTTTGCTCTTAAATTGTGAATCTATAGCTTGTGATTTCATGATTATGAAAATGTGGAAGTACCAGAAATGTGTTTGTGTGTGTGTGAGAGAGAGAGAGATTAAGCATTTTGGATTGTGTGATTCGAGGTGTAATTAAGAATTTATTATAAGAAAGGCGAGATAGATTAGGCGTTTGGGTTTTGAGGCGTGAATAAAAAGTTCAAGGAAAATGAGAGTTGAGATACGAAAATAATAGCAAAATGGGAGGTATTTAAAAAGCAATGCAGAAACTTGTGATCGATTGAATAAGATGCTTTGGGTGAATTGGTTTCGTATCCGAGGAAGTTTTGTAGCTTCAAAATACTATCAGATCTCTGTATTCGAAGATATTTTTTTTTCCTACGCTGAAACAGATAAATTAAATTAACCTATCCTCCTCCTTCATTTACTGGCAGGGCATTTTGACAACTCTATCTCAAAGTAATGGAAAGTATTTGTACGACTATGCCACTGTACCCTTTCTTGCTGAAGTTTTTAAGGTATTCTTAGCTCTTGAGTGGACAGACCATTTAACATAGCAATGGCGGTTTATTCCATATGTAAATTGGCTTTCTTTTTAATTTTGTGTTTATTTGAACAACAGCTGGTGCTTTCTGGTTTACTTGTTTGGAGAGAGTGCCAGATATCACCATCTACAAGGATGACTACAGAATGGAAGAGTGTGCGCTTATACGTTGTTCCTTCAATCATTTATCTAATTCATAACAATGTTCAGTTTGCTACTTTGACTTATGTGGATGCATCCACTTACCAGATAATGGGTAATTTGAAGATTGTTACCACTGGCATATTATTCAGGTGCCTATTTTATACTGTTCTTTTTTATCTTTCGCTTCCTTGGTTGGATGTCTTGTGGAATGAATTTAGCCTTGTTTCAGCTAATTAATTGATGATTTTCTTTGCCTTCTCTATGATTCATTCTTTAGGCTGTTCCTGAGGAGGAGACTGTCTAATCTGCAGTGGATGGCAATTATTCTATTAGCTGTTGGAACAACCACAAGCCAGGTAGGTGGGTATTTTGGTTATTTGAATTGTTAGCAATTTCTCCTCTTCATCTTCATGCTTTGTTTAGTTCTTTGGTTATTTAACTTATGCACTGCAAGTTTCTTTTCAGATTTTTATTTTACACCAGAATCGCTATCTTTGTTTTATTGCAGTTTTTCACGATCCTAGTTGTCATCAACTTTCCCTTTTAATTTATTTGTTAACATTTTATCTATAACTAACAGAAATAAAATAATAATTAATGCTTTTCTTTCGTTTATTGTAGGTTAAAGGTTGTGGAGAAGCATCCTGTGATTCTTTATTTGCAGCTCCAATTCAAGGCTATATGCTGGGGGCAGTATCTGCTTGTCTATCAGCATTAGCAGGTGTCTACACAGAGTTTCTGATGAAGAAGAACAACGATAGCTTGTATTGGCAAAACGTTCAATTATATACGTAGGTATCTCTTCTCCAATCAATGACTTTTCCCTTTTCAAGATGCTTTTTTAGTAACGTTGCCTGTTAAGAGTCATGGTAGCAAACTTGACCTGGATATCTTCTTCCAGGATCTTAGGCCTATCTCACACTCCCTTGTGTATTCCTGACCCTGCTCTATTTACATACTGTTTGCGATAGAGAATATGGAGTCATTGGTTGGCAAAATACATTATTATGTTAATTATTTTAATGATTTATGTATTTCCTTCCACTTCAGATTTGGCTCAATATTCAACTTGGCCAGGCTTGTCCTGGATGATTACAGGGGTGGATATGAGAACGGATCTTGGTGGCAACGCCTTTTCAATGGCTACAGTATTACAACTTGGATGGTTGTTTTGAATCTTGGATCCACTGGCTTGTTGGTTTCATGGTTGATGAAATATGCTGACAATATCGTGAAGGTAAATTCTCTTTTTATGGCTTCCTCTAGATATATCTTTCAGAGGATGCACACAAACATGAAAATATCCATCGGTGCTGTGCGTCATACATGCAGGTGATGAGAATTCCATTGACTTAACTATGAAAAGATTTATAGAAACCAGAATGCTCCCTTGATTTTTCGTTTCATACTTTAGTATTTTTCTATAATATATCCCCTTCTTTTCAACCTAGAGAGGGCAAGGGAGGACTCAGACCCAGGATCTCGATGGATCCCGGCGGGGGTGCTTTCCACTAAGCTACCCTTATGTGTCATCATTCTATAATACCTGTTTGTTCACGAATCTGCCTGAAAGCGTGATGGAAAAGGGCTCTATCAGAACTTTATTTTTCAGCTTTACACGCAACTAAACAAGCCATTTCCTTGTTATATACAGGATGCTCCAGCTTTATTCATTGTAGTTTTCCATTTACACCTCAAAGTTTGCTATAGTCATGCTCATAAGACTGCTGATAAAATACAAGGCTCCAGTTTTCTGACAAAATGACTTTACATGCCACCATAATTCATGGGCTATGGAATACACAACAGGAGTTTCCTTATGGGACACGCCAAGTGTGATAGGATGTATGGCAGTCTCGAGTGTGCTTTTACTTGTAATTTCGGTCCTTTAGGCTCAAATGCCTTTATTACAATATCTTGTTCCGTGCCTCCCTGTCTCAGGTGTATGCCACATCAATGGCAATGCTGCTAACAATGGTTTGGTCTGTGTACCTCTTTAGCTTCAAGCCTACTTTGCAGGTATTCATGCTCTCACAGGTCATCAAATAATAGAATCCTTTTCTGCACATATGCTGGTTAATTTTGATACCATCAATAAACTTGTTTCATTTTCCGTGTCATGCTGCAGCTTTTCTTGGGTATTATCATCTGTATGATGTCACTGCACATGTATTTTGCCCCACCAAACATGCTTTTGGATTTGCCTACACAAGTCAGAGCCGCTTCCGAGAGCCTGAAGGAAGTAACAGTTGAACGAAGAACAGATTCCTGATCTTTATTGCAAATATGCAAACGATTAGCCTCTGCCAATTTATTATTGAAAGTGGCATCAAAGCAATGGTTTCTGCACAGCACGCATGAAGAGGCATAATATCCTTGAATCAGAACCAATTCTACTAACAACTGGATTCTTCTCCACTGTTAGCAAATGCTATAAAAGCCATCTATTGAGATTTTGGCTCTAGTTTAGAAAGAAAACGGTGCACCTGCTTATCCACACTGTCAATTTAGTCTAACTATTGGAGTTGTCAGCTGAATATGCACAGCGTTCCAGGTAGAATTATGAGCTATCCTCAGTGATAAGATTCTTGTAATGTAATTCCTCTCATGTCCATTTTTCAACTGATCGGTATCATCTACAAGTTTAATTGTACTCTCCGATGCAATCAAGGAATGAGATATTTGTCGGCTCTTTTGTTCAGATTTTCCACTGCAAATTCATGAAATTACTTTGGGTTGGATGAACGTTGAATCTTCTAGTTTCTGATCTTGACAGCATATATTCGAGATGCCGAGTCCGATGACAAGAATTGAGCAGGAGAATAAAGAAGGGTAGCCTATAGAGCTTGCAATCAATTCCTTAAATTCAAGGTCAGGCCAGCCTGTCCAATCGAGGAAGCCTGGCTAAGAAAGGACGACTCATCAGCAAGAGAGTTGGAACAAAGACTAGCATAAGCAAGAGAGTTGGAAAAAAAATTAATTTTTTCAAGCCCTTGAGTTAAAGAGGCATCCCATTCACCATGGATTGGTTGCAAAATAATTAGGAAAGTGAGGATTCTTCTTTCGAAGGCCGGTGATCACCACTCTTGAGTGTGTTCTCTCAACACACATTCATTTTATTTTATTTTTTTTCACTTTTTCATGAAAGATGAAATCTAATTATTGAGTTAGATGGAGTACTAAGTTTGTGTATTTCGATTAAGTACATAAAAACTAATGCATGTAGTAAAAAATAAAAGTTAAGGATAGAAAAAACTATTCTTTATGTCAAAATCAAATTTTAAAAAATAATATATATATATATATATGTAGTAAAAATTAAAATAAAAGTTAAGGATAGGAAAAGGTATTCTTTATGTCAAAATTAAATTTTAAAAAATAAAAAAATAAATATTATTTTAATATATTTTTAAATAAAAAGCAATTTTAAAAAATATATTTTGCTTTAATTGTTTTTGTATGTGTTTTTAGATTGTTTTGATGTGTTAGTGTAAAATTAAATTTCAGAAAATAAAAAAAAATTATTTTAATATATTAAAAAAAAAACATTTCAAACAGCAATTTGACCGTGGCATTAGCACTAATAAAATGCAGCGAATGTACATGCAATGAGTGTTCCGGGAGCTGAAAAAGAAAGGAGAAACAGCACTCGTGCTTTGAGATTAATCGACATCTAATATAACCAATGGTTTAGCTAAGGCAAAGAGATCTTCAGAGCTAACTGCATTGGATATAAATTTGCCAGTAATAATTAAGGCTTTCCTCCAGCTTAGTTGTGTTAAGGGCGGTAACCACAACCTGCAAAATAATTTATTCATTTATTTTTGAAGCAACTCCTGTTGAAGTTGACAGGGTTGCTCGAAGACACTCGAAGAGTGGCATGGATTATGGTTCCAGGACTGGGAGAAAATCCTGAAATATTATAGAATTTCAAGGCGATACCAAATGTGATGTTGAGTTCCCAGGTTGGTGTAAGCAGCAGGGCCAGGTCTCTTGCCATTTTGGTGCATTTAATAATAATGTTATCAAAACCTTTCAATGTTATTTTATTGTTTTTTATTCTTTCTTTGATTGTAATGTATATTTTATTCTAACTTAAAAAATGGAATTTTAAGAAGAAAAAAAAGGGCCCGGCGGGGGAGGGCAAGGAGAGAAAAAAAATGACATCAAAAAACAAAGTTAAATGGTAATGTGACATGTTACGAGGATATCTGAAATTGCATTTTAAACAGTATTTTAAAAAAAATAAATGTAAATTTATTTTTTTAGATCATTTTAATATGCTAATATTAAAAATAATTTTTTTAATATAAAAATATTTTAATATATTTTTTAACAAAAAAATATTTTAAAAACTAATTTCTACTACACCCTCCATGATCCCTTCTAAATACTACATCAACAATCCAAAAAGATATTAATAATCAAGTTTGTCAATTTGAGTAGTGATCACTAAATTACTCTAGCTCTTAATTTGATGAAGTTTAATTTTTATAATTTAATATTTATCATTTAAGGTTATCATTAACATTTTTTTATGCTTAAAAAGTATTTTTTTTATAAAAAGAACCCATTTAGCATTTTTATCTATTATTTATTTTATTTTATTTTTATCATCAACCTCTTTTTGATATCCAGCATTTAGTCTTTTTGGCTAATTGTGAGTTTTTGAATATAACACTGTGTTTGATTAATTATTTATATTTGAGGGTCTGTATGCTTAAAGTTTTTCTACTGTATTTTATTCTTGATTGATCTTCATATAAAAAAAAAATTACTTTTATTTTTATATTATGATTTCATTTGCAATAATTGAATGTGATTTCAATTTTATTTTTATATGTATATATTTGCATTATAATTATTTAGTGTTTAATTTTCAATTTATAATTACTATAAACCCCGACCTTTAATGATATCTTTAGGGTCATTTAAGAGAAATTGAATCTTATGTAAACCTAAATGATCAATTTATTTAAGAGAGTTGAACTTTTATAGATTTTTCATATAAGATACATAATAAAAATTAAATTAATAATCATTGAAGGCAACTTCACCAAAAACATCATGAATATATTAATTATTTAGGTTATTCTAGTCATGATAACCCTAATAAATAAGTTATGGGATTGAAAAATATAAAGGGCTTCTATTTTTAATGATCATCATTCATAACCTTTAGATTTTTAATAAATGGTTTGTAACTTCAATTATTTTTTTGAGTTTCATAACTTATATGATAATAAAATAGTTAGAATGAACCTAATTTTATTGGGAAGATATGGAGCATGATTTAGAGAGGATACGTAAACCTTGCATTATTGATTGTTCTAAAATAAAACAAAACCACAGCAGAAATACCTACCGCAGTCTTACATAAATAAACTCTGAAATAATAACAAAACTTATTTTGTATTTATTTGAAGTCTTTGTTAAATACAAAGAGAAAACAAAAATGAATGAATGAATAACAATAAAAAAAATATATTAATTATTGTGCCGCTGTTCCAGATAGACGTTCTATACGTTGTTCGTGTGTTGGAAAGTAACAACAATGATAGCATTGGTCTTCCAACCAGCTGTGGACCAACAGATCCATTCAATCCTAAGCCTCGTTAGCTTTGAAGATTCAATGGCCTTCATGGGCAAGGAAAATATTTTCAAAACAGGAAGGAATGTTGGTTGGCATAGGCTGTCGTGATTAGGCGCATATTAGTGATTTTTGCACCAAAATCAGAATCTTTGCTGCTGGCATTTGCTGGCTCTCTTACAAGATTCTAAGAGCATCAGCTTATACATGTTGTTCCATTAGGAAAGTAGCAGTGCAGGATTCCCATCGAAATTTCAACCGATTCCACTTTGCAATTTGAGCAGAAATTACCTAAAACCCTCTCTTGAAAACTTTGATTTTATGAAATAAAACGAATCGTTGCAGGATATTGCACGCCTCCAGCATAAATTTTATCTAAAATATAGAAAAATATATTTTATCTGAAAGTACTTTCTAAAGGGTGTTTTTTCCTTTATATGCAAAGAACAAGAGCATGGAAATGATTGCAGGATAGGAGCACGCTACAGTACTCGTAGCTCACCTTATTATTTTATTTATTTATGTGGGTATTTTGGTCAGTTTGCGTGTATCATGACTAATCCCATGATCCATTGAACATCCTGCAAGTTTAATGAGCATGTAAGGTACTGCGGGAATGACAAGCATGCACACTAAAATTCAAACTTGGATGCAGAGAAAAAAAACAAATCCCTTTTATTACTGGGCTAAGAACTCAAGTGCTCGTAGCTCACCTTATTAATCATTATTGTTGCTTGTTGTTGACATTATCCTTCTAACATTCCCTTGGATGCACAAGCATTGTTCACGTCATTGCAGAGTTTCTTGCAAAAGTTCACTCTGGTCTCTAAAGTTTTTGCCTTGTTATAATTTGGCTCTTGGATTTTTTTATTTTATATCTTTTTTAATTCTCAAACTTTATTTTCGTGACTTTTCAATCTCTACCATCGGGGAATAGAAATGAGAGGAGAATAATTTAGATGCATAAGTGAGATTTGATGATGATGATTTTTTTTCTAATGATCTTGTCGGGTAAGGTAGGTTAGAGCTCGTAAAGGCTTTTTGGATTCTATTTTTGAGAGATTTTCGAATCTTTTCAAGTTAAAAATGGGGTAATTTAGATTTTTATGATGTATCAATAATGTTTTTTGATAAAAAAAAATATTGGTAATGGAGCTTTAAATTTTAAGAAAATGTTCTTGATTTTTCAAAAATTATTGCATCAGAGGATGCATAACCTGATGCAGTTTTTTTTTTATTGAGTGAATGATTTGTTGTTTACTCGATATAAAAAGAAAAATCATATAAGCAAGCCTGATTGGTCTTTTCCCATTTGAGGCTAAGCATGTGAATTTAGTTTTTTAGACTAGTAAAATTTTTTTAATTTTTTTTAACTAATTCTCTATTTAAATTAATAATTAAAATGATGTCTATCTTGTGATTTTTCATATAAAATTAGATATTTTATGCTTATATTTGCAACAAATTTTTTTAACAATTATATATGTGATTAATACGCAATAAATTTTATATATATATATATATATATAACATTACACATGAATATCCTATGGATACTAAATAGTCTTTTATTGTTATTTTTATATTTATTTCACGAATTAATTATTCTTTGTTTCTTTATGAAGACATTTTTCTATTTTTTCTTAACTTGCCTTTTACATTACGATAGTTTTTGCTTAGGAAAAAAATGCTAATAATAATAGAAAAATATATATTTTTGTCTTGAAAAAAATAAATTAATAAGGAAATGAGAGTTTTGCATCCAGAAATATTTTTTTTTCCACTCTTTTATTTAAAATATTGAGATTCTAGCCAACATTTATTTTAGTTATCCTGAATTTTTATTTTAAAAAAATGATATTGTTGATAAAAATATATATATTTTTCATCAAAACAAGAAAATACATAAATAATTAATAAAGACCTCGACTTAGGAAATACTTTCCTCTTCCAAATTTTAAATCTTTTAAACTCTTTCAAATATTTATTTTAATCATTATATAATTAAATAAAAATTAGCTTTGAGAATTGCTATGGGACATTGCACCAACATAAAATATAGTTTTATACACAAATATATTAATGTAGATATACAGATGAATCTGATAGACATGTGTTATTAAATATTTTAAAAAGAAACAATTTTTTAAATATAAATTGTACTTTCCATGTTGATGGGAAAAAATAAAGATTATTGATCAAGATTTTCGAATTACAAGGAAAAACTTAGAAAATCGAAGCATTAACAATTTATTAGCAAACACAAGATTAAAATCCAAAATACAAATACAGGGCATGTTTGGTAAACATCAAGGATGTGCATGTAATATGCTAAAGAACAAGGAAAAGGGAAGATTTTTTTTTTAAGATAAAAAGGGTATTAAAGTGAAAATAAAAAAAGAAAACGTGGACGAATCAGAAGTGGAGCATATGGCGCCAACTCATAACTTGCAGGAACATAACCTGTCAGTGGCGGGAATCCATCGCCAGACGGTCACATGGCTCTTCTCTCTCCCCCTCACCGAAACATGCGCCTGGGCCCCCACACTACTTTTGTTACCACCACACCGGATTGACTGGTTTTCTTACCAAATATATAAACCTAGGCAAGTTCGATCCTACAACGGAAACATCATCACATCATTAAATCGTAGCATCTTGTCCTGAAAAAGGCACAAACTCCTTGTGATTTTTTTTTCTTCTCTCTGCGCCGGCTCTTCATAACAGCAGAGATTTTTGAGAGGCTGCAGAGAGAGAAATCAAAAGAAGAAGAAAAATGGCTGGTGTTTCCAGGATTGTTGTAGCTGCTGTTGCTCTTGCTCTTGCTTCTGCCTTTGTTCTGCCTGTTGCTCAGGCCCAAGCTCCAGCTCCTGCCCCCACCAGTGATGGTAAAAAACCAAAACTTTCGTTATGCATTCTTGTTTATATGTGTTTGTATTTTTATACGAAGGTAAATCTTGGGTTCATGAGAAACCTGTATTCTTTCACACATACACGGGCATGTTTGTAGATCTACGGGTTTTTTTTTATTTTTAATCTTTGGCTTAATGTGCTGCATGCTGCGTTTTAGTTTTTATGTTGTATATTCTCTTTATAAAAGTTGTGGTGTTACTTATTCCAGAAGAAAGGAAAAGGAAACTGAAACTGTGATAGAGATAAAAGGTAGATTTAGTTTCAGAATTGTTAATGCAAGAAATTTGTAGGTTTTGGAAAATGGGATTTATCAATAATTATTGGTAATACAGGAGTACTAGAGTATTTTCTCGAAAATGTGAGCCTGTGGGGATTTCTTTGCTGGGTGATTTAGGTAAAGAAATGGATCAGGAAGTTATTGGAATTAATTAGGATTAGTTATTCGTGAGCATTTGTGTTTATTTAGGAAATGATTCGAATTATGGTTATGCATCCCTGATTTTCTGTTATATTTGACCTTTTGCATTGAAGTTGTTTAGCAACAATTATTTATGGTCATGATTGTTAGGAGCTACGGGGAATTTAATAATAAAAAAGCCCTTGAAGAAATTGTATTCGTTCTTGAACAAAACTCACAACAAAATTAAAATGCCTGTATCAATGGTGCCAGTGCAATTGTTCATGACTCTTGCCGTTAGAGGGAAACGATTGTTTGCACATCCAAAATGATCTGTACATGCTTTGATGTTTTAACCATTATATGGTTTTGTCCGAGAATTAAAGGGAGTATTTTTTTATTTTTTTTAAATCAGGGACATCAATTGACCAAGGCATTGCATACGTGCTGATGTTGGTGGCACTAGTGCTCACATACCTCATTCACGCGGCAGACTTATCTCACAGCTTCTGAAATGGTTAAACTTTGGATAAGGAGATAGGGAGGTTTGGGTTAGATTATGGGAGTGATGTGCGTGTATCTTTTATTTTAGTCTGTTGATATTTGTATGAATGGATTGTTTCTGAGTTGTGACGAATTTGTTGTTGTTGTTGCTAATGCTATCACCTTGTTTGGAGGCAGCCTTGATCTTCTTCTGCCTTTGCTCCCATTTACCCCCAAATATGGTTCAGCTTCTTGCCCCTTAGCAGCAATTTCACGTTTGTAAACATGGCATGCATCAGTGTCGTGTCGGTAAAAAATTAAGCTGCTTCATATACTCACCATAATCTTTTCATAGAGAACAGGGTGTTGTGGCTTTGTGGCAGGACAATGATCATTCGTGCAAAATAGACTTTGCATCTTTTGGGGAGACTGTGAAATTGTAGAAGTATGATATAATTTGGTCGGAAATTGAGGATAGCCACGTTCAACTAGTGTTGGATTAGTGCAGCCTTGTGTCATTTATTGATATTAAGCAAAATGCACAACCGACCTAGAGCTACAGAGCTTCAAATCAACATCAGTGCAACCATGCAGATTTAGATTAAGAAGTATACCTGATTACCTGTGATATGTTAAAATGCTTGGACACAAACATGGCCCTCATAATTAGAAGACCATCGCCAGTCACCAGCCCTGCTGCTAGGACACCCGTTACAGAACATCTTAAATTTTCAAACTCGGAATGAATAATAGCAACAAATTTAGAAAATAGAGTTTGGCATTAATCTGTTAGAATTCTTTAAAATTACAACTCAGCTTTCTAACTTCCAAATGGATTCCTAGTCAAAATCAAGTGAGCGTAATCTTTTCCGACAACTTAAAATGTTTTGTACGAGTCTAAAACTGAATGGTATCCATTAGGCCTTCACAATGGAAGGAGAGAAAGCAGGTTCACAGCACTAAATATCTGAATAGATCTCAGACAACCCCACCAGCACAGGATTCTAATCAAGCTTTATAGGAAACTGAATTTTCTTCTCGTTGCTCCTGATCAGTTAGCGTGAACTTCTTCACTTTCTGTACAGAAATATCACCAAAGCAAAAAACAGTGTAATAAAATAAGATTTTTTTAAGCACATGAATGTACAACAAATCCATATAATGCCGTAAACCATTTGAACAATTAGAAAATAAGGTCACTTGGGAACAGTTGTCCCAAAGACATGTCAATGTTTATCTGTAGATTGTTTCTTAAAGTCTCAGGTTGAGAACTTATTTGAAGGTGCTTTTATTTAAAAATAAAAAATTGCAGCCAGCTAGCTCATAGCTTGATATTTCAGATAGTTCTGAAGACTACATCAACATTGGAGCAAGATATTTTTTATGCAAGAATTAATGATCACCGAGTTTTTTTTCTTTTTTTCTACACCGTGATACTAAGTTCCATTGGTTGGACCCTTTGAATCAACCCCCTATAATTTATTAGGCCTTGAAGCTATATAGCATCTTTTCTGCCCTCACCAGATGCCAGAATTCGCATCATGCTGCCATTATTCCCGTGGGAATTTCATAGCGAATTAAAATTTAACCATCAAGTGATAAATACAACAAGGAAAGCCTTTGATCAATGAACATTTTATCTTCCCCACCCTTCAAAGGGAGAAGAATCATATTCAGAGAAAGGGCGAATGAGACAGATCTTAACATTGAACTAGATTGATCCAGGAAAGCAAAGTTAATGTTCTCAAGAACAATCAGAGAGAGACAACAATGTCACCCTTCTCAAATCAATGAGCAAAATAGCAGAGTAATTCGACAGTTCAAAAAGAAACAATTATTCGATCAGGTATAATGCAAGACTAAGTTAGATGGGAGGTACCATGAGTAGCAAACTTGACATAGAAAGAAGTAAATGCACAACACAATTGCATGTACTTTTTGACATCTGGGAGGCCAAATTCAAGGCAAAGAAAGTTTCATAACCCAGTGCTAACCCTCGGTTCCAAAATAACATCAATCCCACAAATATAAAGCTCCAAACAACTCCAAAGTTACACCTTTCTGCTGCTTCTTTTTTTCTTTGAAGAATACACCTTCAAAGTTACAACCTTTCTATCAAAATTGACCTACCAATTACGAGTCTTTTCCATAAAAGGATCATGAATTTGACAATTCTCAACATAATCATGTCAACAAGTACACAAAGCACACACAGTCCTTCAAACCAAGAACTCACGTGTAACAAAAATCTAAACTGAAACAACAACAAAAATAACAACTCGAAGTCGCAAAATAAGAGGTAAAACATACCTTAATGAGCACATACCGTCTCAAAACATGCAAGAGACGGACAAGTTTGTCTTGATCATAACGCGATTGTGCTACACAGTTTAGCAGATCCAGTGCTTCCTCTGCACAAACGGGCTTTGCACGTGCTTCCTCCATTCCTTGTTTTCTTTATCAAAATCTGAGGTTTCAGGTAATGGTACGATAAACGGCTATACGTGCTCTATTTGCACCCCGTGTTTTCATAAATCCTTCACATAAGGTTCTGTATTTTCAATTCAAATCATGTGTATTCCCAATTTCAGTTATTTGAGTATGATTTTGCAAAATTGACAATTTTTTACAAGTTAGATCTCGAATGAAAATATAATATACACGAACACGAACACCACTCGTTTGTCCCACCCTGTACGATTATATATATAAAAATTATCAATTTTGGAAAGGACACTTGTTTAATTGATCGAAATAAGAGTATAAGGATATATTTGATGGAATTGTGAAAGAAAACATGGTGTACATAGGTGGATTTAGCCCAAGACAAACCCTTGCCAAGGTTTAAACTCATCGGTCTACCTTTTTCCTTGTTGTGGACTTGGAACTGTTCGGTTCGAAAGAAAATTAAAAAGAAAAAATCGCATAAACTTTGGGCTCCTGCCCGCGACTTCCACAGTGACAGCCCGTTGTATCTCGAAAGTCACAGAAAACAGGTTTAGGTTGCAGAGGCCCAGTTTGGGTTTTCTTTGTTGGTCCAGGAAGGTTGAACATTTCAAATGTTTCTTTCCAACTACATGACAAATAAAATCCAACCGGAGGCCATCACTTCTATATAATAAATACATTAATAATGGGACTCGTAGCTCGAGAATTAATTGTGCGTAATAAAATGATTATCTTGTTATTCTTAAAAAAACAAAATCACTTAACTTTGCTCTTTTCCACTACATTCATTTGTCATTGTCTAATTGACATAGAGTATACCAGTCATCTCACATTTCTAATAATGCATGGTAAAATTAGTAAATAGACTTTAAAAGCAAAAATCATTTAACATGCCTTTAGGTTTTTTTTTTAAATTTCAATTTAATTTGAAAATTAAAATTATGAAATTAACCTTAAACTCAGGTTTTCTTAGGCTTGTATCTGGGTTTTTTGGGTCATTTGATTATGATTTTTCTGTTATTAACTCAGAGAGAATTCAGTAATCTAAAAATATAAAATGTCATTTTAAAAAAAATTTATTAGGCACTCATAATTTTCACGAGACGTGTGCAGTGCCTCTTAAGTGGCGGCACATCCAATTAGATGGCATGTGTGAGGTGGGATGGTTTGTGATGATTATTTTTCTCCCCTCTTTTTTTTTCTCATTGATAATTGTGATATCTAGCTAAAATTAAAAAGTTTTTATTCAATTTAGTTTTTATTTTAATTGTGGTTTTTGTTTTTTTATTTTATTTCTTTTTTATATATATTATTATTATTATTATTATTATTTTAATTTTATCCCTAATCATCTTGTTTTGTTTTATTTTTATATCAAATTTAGTTTTTTTTTTGCTTTAGCTCCTTTTTTAAAATTAGTTTTTCTCTTTTCAACCTCATTCTTTAAAATTGGATTGGTTGATGATTGAATTTCGTGGTTCCTATAATGTAGTGATCACAATTTTATAACCCAAGTTACGTGTATAAAATACTAACGTAGATTGATATTGGTTTTTTTATCTCTTTATACACCGATTTTTTTTTCAATTTCATTATTCAGCATTGAATTTATTTAAGACTAAACTTTTTTTTATTTAATTTCCATAAAGATATCTCAACTTCACAATTTGAATTGTGAATTTATCATGCCAACTCATATTAGCTTGAGGCTTTCACATTATTTTTTTTAATTTTATTTTTATATCAACTTTGATCCTTATTATTCTAATTATTTTTTTTATTTTTTTTAAGTTATTTTTTAATTTCATTTTTAAATATTAGATTGATTGACCTAGGATATAATTATAAAATATTAACTCAAATTGCCATTAATTTTTTTCTTCAACTTATTTTTAATTGTACAATCACTAAAAACTATTTTCCACGACAATAAGAAATCTATTATTTAAGAACACACCACCTTCCAACAACGAAGCATGTAACCGGGCACCTTTTTGCACTGCTTTGGATACGGTTATTATCTGTTGAGACCAAGAGTAAAAGAAGTCAATCTTGGAAGAAAATGGAGCGCAAAATACATGTGTGAGTTCCGATGGAAAGGTTGCTGGAAACATTATATATTATGAGAGGTGTGGAATTCATGGGAGTGGAGAGCTGCTGTGGGCACTTGCAAGCGGCCCAAGAAGAGCGCGCTGGAAAAGTGAGCTTAATTACGCGCATTGATATCACCCAGCAGGCACAAGTCGTCATGACATCCCACCATAAATTACTACACACACACACACACGACACGTACTACTTCCACTTCGATATCTATCTGTCTTTCATAACCAGAATCTCTCCAAAAACAAACCTGGTCTCCTCACCTAGCTGTCGGTGGGTGACCGTGGGCCTACCTGCCTTATTTTCCACCCACAATACATGAACAATCATGCATGTATGTATATACGTATGTATGTATGGGTGGTGGGTGTTCTATTTTTCAATGATTTTTTTTTATTTGTATAGTAAAATGACTTCGATGGAGAGGACACAAAAACACCTATTTGAAAATTCATGTATTGAATGGAACTCTTAATACATAAATTGATATTTTTTTATAGTCATAATCTGTGTTAATCGATACCATTTCTTTTTACAATTGAAACCCAACTATTTTCTTTTTTTTCCTTAAAACAATAATTGAAAAATAAAAATTTATATCATAATTGAATTATTAAAATATAGAGGGCTTGGGAATTTATCGTTT